TGGTCTGGCCGTTGTCTGGCCTGTCTGGTCCAGATTGAATCGAAGATCGATGGAACATAAGCTGGATCGACAACGAAGTTGCGCGGGGCAGAGAGGACAAAAGACAGAAGGCAGTCAGAAGGCAGACCACGGATGAGCACGAGAAGTATGAGCACGAGTGTGACGAGAAAGACCGTGATGACCAAGACGACGAAGGAAGAGGCAGGTGACGACGAGGAGGAACATAGGGGCCCCGTGCCGCGCCTCTGCGCCACTACACCACGACACAGACCAACCAAACCAGCCAGAACAACCACACTAGCGCACGGCGGGACGCCAAACTTCAGCAGAACACACTTGAAACTTGAGACTCGAGATCCAACTTAAGACCTAACTGGTCTGGTTGGTCTACCTGGCCTGTCTGACTGGATGCTCTAGCTGGTCTGCTTGGTCCGGGTAAGTTGGTCTGCTTACTCTTGTCTGGGGCTTGCTGGTCTGAGCGGCTAGCTGGTCTACCTGGTTTAGTTAGTCTACCTGGCTAGTTTGGCTGGCTGGTATCGCAAATCTGCTTGGTCTCGGCAGGTTGGTCTGATTAGTCTGGTGTGCTTCGCTAGTCCGAACGGCTGGCTGGTCTGTCTGGACTGGTTAATCTACCTTGCTGACCTGATTGGTCTACCTGGCTGGTCAAACTGACCGGTCTGGCTGGTCTGCTTGGTTGTTGCCATCGTCCTCCTCCTCGCCCTCCTTTTCGTCGTCGTCGACGTCGTCGTCATCAGAGAGAGCACGTTTCACGGGCGCTCGCATTGAGAACATTCGGCGGCGCGTCTCGAACGGGGGGTTGCCCCCCTCAACACTCGGCGCCGTCGATCAGAACCAGGGGGACTCCCCTCCCACCTAGTCCCCCCTCTTCCCGAACCACCCCCCCCCCTCCCAAGGAAGAGGCGGGTCCAACCCCTCCCCCCCCCGGTTGCGCCGGCGCCAGCGCTGGCGGCCGCCAGCAGCGCCGACGGCGGGGACGCAGCGACGATGACCAGAGGCAGCTCAAGGGGGGCGGGGGGAAGGTCCAACCTCCCCCCCCGCGCCAGCGCCGGCGCCGGCGCTGGCGGCAGCCAGCAGCGCCGACGGCGGGGACGCAGCGACGATTACAACCACTACCACCACCACCACCACTTCCACCACCACCACCACCTGAACCCACCACCACCACCACCAACCCACCACTACAACGACCACCACCACAGCCACCACCACCACAACACACCACCACCACCACCACCACCACAAGAACCCACCACCGCGACCACCACCACCATCACAATCTACCACACCACCACCACCACCGCCACAAACCACCACCACCCACCATCAAACCACCACCACCACCCACCACCACAACAAACCACACCACCACCACCACAACCACAAACACCGCCACCACCACCACCGCTACCCAACACCACCACGACAGACCACCACACCACCACCACCACCACCACCACCGCAACCAACCACCACCACAACCAACACCACCGCACCAAACCACCACCACCACACCACCACCGCCACCACACCACCCTTCGCCACCACCACCACCACCACCACCACCACCACCACAACCCACCACCACCACCATATCCACGTCCACCACCACAACCACCACGACAAACCACCACACCACCATCGCCACCGCCACCACAACCACCACCCACCACCGCCACAACTGCCACCACCACCACCAGAAACCACCACACCACCACCACCACCGCCACCATCACCACCACCACCACCACAACCTGCCACCATGACCACCACAACAACCACCAGCACCACCTCCCACCATACCAGCACCACCACCACCGCCACAACCACCACCACCACCAAACCCCCACCACCACCACAGCCCACCACCACCACCACCATTTCAGAGAGGCCCCAAGAGACGCCCAAGAGGCGCCCAGGAGGCTGCACAAATGCCCTGCAGAGGCCCCCGAGAGCCTCCGACGAGACCCCAAGAGGCATCCATTAGGACACTGACCCAAAACCAAGGCACGGTGGCGGAGCGTCGTCGTCGTCATCGTCGTCGCCGTCGTCCTCGTCGACGCTCCCCGCCGCCGCCGCCCGCCGCCGCAGGGGCCAGCGCCGGCCCAGAAAAGGAAGTCGTCGTCCCCGCCGCCGCTGCCAGCCGCCGCCGACGCAGGCGCCGACCTGAGGAGAGGGAGAGGGGAGAAGTAGGGGAGGAGGGGGAGGGGAGGGGGGAGGAAGGGCGGGGGGGTTCGACCCCCCCCTTTCATCCAGAGGGGGGGGGGTCCGTTCCAACCCCTCCCCCTCCAAGCGACCACAGAACGCGCTCTTTCCGTCATCAGCCTGACCTTTGCAACGCCACAGCCGGGGCTGGGACCGTAAGCGCTGCTGCGTCAAGTCCAGCTGCGGCGGAAAGGGAGGTGGGAAGGGAGGTAACATCAGCAGCTATATCAGTTCTTACGCCCAAACGCAGAGTAAGGGGCTGGGGCACAATGACTGTTCGCTTCGAGCGGCTTAACATCCCACTATCGATGTTACAACATCATGTTCGATCGATCTCACAACTGTTCTGACGATCGATTTCACAACACATCTCACAGACGATCTCTCTACCGATCACCTCGACATCACGATCGATCTCGCAGCATATCTCACTATTGGTATCAAATCGAACTCGTTATCGTCTCATCAATCGAGATCACGGTCGATCTCACAAGCGATCTGACGATCAATCTCGCAGCAGATCTCACAATCAATATCCCAATCGATCTCCCCATCGATTTGACAATCGAACTCACTATCGATCTGACATTCGGACCCAATATCGATCTCACAGCTGTTCCCACTATTGGTTTCGCTGTCGATCTCACAATCGGCCTCACCATCGATATCCATATCGATCTCACGATCGGTTTCACAATCGATATCACAATCGATCTCACAATCGATCTCAGTATCGATCACGCTGTCGATCCCACGATAGATCTCACGAGCGATCTCACAACAGATCTCAGTATCGATCGCACAACAGATCTCGCACTCGATCTCACAATTGATCTCACGATCGATCCCACAACAGATCTCACAATTGATCTCACTATCGATCTCAACGCCACGCCACCGACGGGACACCCAGCGACACCGATGGGACACCCCGCGCCACCGAAGGGACACCGCCGCGCCACCGACGAGACACCGACGGGGCACCGTCGCGCCACCGACGGGACACCCCCGGCCACCGCGCGCTGGGGGGGGGGGGGGCTGGAGGGGGAGAACCCTAGCCACGGCGGCATCATGTCTCTCGCGCGCCCATGCAGCTTCACCTCGCCCGCACGCGCGTCACAAACACGAGAATCGAAACCGATTTCACGGTGGTGGACTCTCCGTTCCACTGCGATCTCACCCGCCACCTCCGATTTTAGATGCGCCTGGCTAGGGGCCAGGGATGGCGGAGTGGCAGCGAGCAGCGAATGAACGCCTGAGGCGGAGCATGTAATCAACACGTGCGTCCACGAAAACACGGTGACCGAGCTGAAGCGGCACGGGCCATCGCAAAGCGCACATATGTACGTCTAGCTAGTTTACAGAGTTGATGCATATATATAAACTCCTATACGACCACCCTTCGGGTGATAAGGAGGTAAGGGGGGGAGGGACCAACGTCGCACTCGATCGATCTCACTCTCGATATCACTATCGATCTCGCTATCGATCTCACATTCGGTCTCACTATCGATCTCACTATCGATCTCCCATTCGGTCTCACTATCGATTTCCCTATCGATCTCACATTCGGTCTCACTATCGATCTCACTATCGATATCACTATCGATCTCACAATCGATCTCACATTCGGTCTCACTATCGATCTCACTATCGATCTCACAATCGATCTCACAATCGATCCCACATTCGGTTCAACTATCGATCTCACTATCGATCTCACCATCGATCTCACAATCGATCTCACATTCGGTCTCACTATCGATCTCATTATCGATATCACAATCGATCTCACAATCGATCGCACAATCGGTCTCACTATCGATTTCACTATCGATCTCACATTCGGTTTCACTATCGATCTCACTATCGATATCACTATCGATCTCACCATCGATCTCACATTCGGTCTCACTATCGATCTCACTATCGATCTCACTATCGATCTCAGTATCGATCTCACATTCGGTCTCACCATCGATCTCATTATCGATATCACAATCGATCTCACAATCGATATCACTATCGATCTCACTATCGATCTCACAATCAATCTCACTTTCGGTCTCACGATCGATTTCACTATCGATATCACATTCGGTCTCACAATCGATCTCACATTCGTTGTCACTATCGATATCACAATCGGTCTCTCTATCGATATCATCATCACCATCATCATCAACAGCACCATCATCATCATCAACATCATCATCATCGGGACACCGACGGGACACCGAAGGGACCCTGGCGGGACACCGGCGGGACACCGCGCGCCACCGGCCGCCCGGTGGAGAATCATTTGGTCCGGCCGCGCCTCAGCCACAGAGGACACCACCTGGACACCGGCGGGACACCGCGCGCCACCGGCCGCCCGGTGGAGAATCATTTGGTCCGGCCGCGCCTCAGCCACAGGAGACTTTCCTCTCGCCCGCCCACGCAGCTTCGCCTCGCCCGCACGCACGGCACGCACGAACACGAAACCGAAATCGATTTCCCGGTAGGGGGGCTCTCCGTTCCACTTCGATCTCACCCCCTCACCTCCGATATATATATATATATATACATATATATATATACATATATGTCTATATATATATATATATATATATGTAAGGGAGAGCTACACGGTGCATAACTATATAGAGACAGAGGGAAAGAGAGAGAGAGTAAGAGAGAGTAAGAGAGAGAGGAGGAGAGAGACAGAGAGAGAGAGGGGAAGAGGGAGAAAGAGAGAGAGAGAGAGAGCCAGGGAGCGAGCGAGAGAGTCCCCTGACCTGTCGCAGGCGCGGCTCCCGAGGCAAGGGCGACGGCCGCGGACAGGGCGCCGGTGTAAGCCTCCTGGAGCTCCTGGAATATCTTCTCGTCGCCGCCGACGTCGGGATGTGCGCCGTCACGGATCTTCCTGAGGCCGAGCATCCGGATAGCAAGACGTCAGCGAAGACATCCAAGACTGAGACTTGAACCCCGCTCCGAGGCCCCTCAAGCCCTTGGGTTGGGCTATATCCCAACCCTTGACAACCCCATCCCCTCCCCGTCAACTGGGTGCGGACCCTCGCCACCCCTTTGGAAGGTTGACTCCAGCAGGCGTTCCTCCCTTTCTATTTCTTGAGCCGGGGGAAAAATCACGCCTTCGTCGACTTCGATAACACCCAACGAAGCGGAAGCCTTCCCAGCAACCACACATCCGTCGCCGTTGATAGCCATGTGTTGTCTCGTGGTTTGAACTGGTTGGGACGTGTCTTCGTGCCTCTTTGAAAATAGTCGCACGCAGTGTGCCGCAACGTGCTGCAAGTTAGCGTGCCTGCATGTTTTCCTCATTGCCGCGCAATTGGCCTTGACCCGTGTCTTTGCTCCACAACAATATGTGCACCGCAGCGCCTGGACTCACGCGTCGCTGCTCCTGTAATACTCTGCGACAGCGGGCAAGGCGAGGAAGCGCTTGACGAGTCCCTGCAAGCCGGCGAACGGCTTCATGACTGTGGGATCTCCATTCCAATCCCCTTTCTCCAGTAACTGCAGCGTTGGCACCCAAAAGAAGTCAGCGATCGTAGGCTCTGGCGTGCCAGCCAGCCACCCCGTACCACCCTGCTCGAGGATCTTCTCCAACTGGCCCATGTGCCTCGGGATTATATCTCTGTTTATGTCCGCTCGCAGCTTCGCGACGTTCTCGTCTGTCATGAGCCAGGCGCCGAACCCGAAACGCTCTGATCGGGGGTTACCAGAAGTGGTCCAGGCACAAGGTGTCCCCAGCTTTCCATGCCACTTCCGGGCCCTGGGGACCTCTGGACTCGTGAGGGGTGCTCTGCAGGCCATCTGAACCAGCGCGGAAATCCTGGGGACACATGGAGCCAAAGACACTGTTGGGAGCACCCGATCTTGGTACTTTGTGACGCGGAAGCCCATCAAGGCGTCGGCCTCCTGGTCCATGATGGCGTCTACATGGGCCGCGAGCACAGGATCTTCGGGGTACAACCCTGCCCGCTTCCCCACGAAACGGAGGATAGCTCCACGGCCCCAACAATTGCCACAACCACAACATCCCTCAGCTACATGCAAGAGTGACCCTAGGCAAGAGTGACCTGTAGTGCGCGGCTTGAAGGGGCCGCGGGATGGCCGAATCCAAGCGCGAAAATCAATGTTGGGGGATCGCTATGGGCCCGCACCAAAAATCACTCTAGCGAAGGGACACTCTTACGCGTAACCAAATCCCATGCCCCCACAATCCCCCCAGCCTCCCCCACCCTATTCCCACCCCCTTCCTTGAGGCCGATGGGGGGGCGGGAAGCTAGTGGTGGCGACTTTGGGGCATTGGAATGGCAGCAGATTGAGTTAGAGTCTTACCGTCCACTACAAGGGCTGGAACCTGGCCAAACTGGAGCTCGCCCGACTCCTTCATTTTCGTGAACTCCTCCCTCGAACTGAACCGGTAGTCTTCGAATGGGATGCCGCCGTAATGGAAAGCCAATCTGATGCACTCGCCCTTCCCAGGAAAATTGAAATACAATAACTTCGGCACGTCTACACGAACCTTCTTCTCGGGGGGCTCCTTCGCATCTGTCATGGCTCGCCGCTGCAATTGCAAACACGAAAAACGAAGTGATGCGGGATTCCTGAACCGGCTCTCCTCGGCTTGAGACACAGCTACTACAGGCACTGTGCCTTATCTGCGCACCAAAGCATCATGGGATATGCTCTGTTTCGCATCGCTTTTTGGTGCGATCCGATCAGATTCTGCAGCGCGCATCCATGCTCCTAGCTTCGTAGCAAGATTCGAAGATCTTTGTCCCTGCGGAAAGCCTATCAATTTGACGACACGTCGTACCGATAAGATTTTGGGATGCCTGCCTCCCTTGCGCTTATCAAGGGCTCCGCGCATGAGGTTGGCTCGCCTGCAGCTACAGAGCTGGACTCCTTCTCCTCGTCCTCCTCCAGCTCCTCCTCCTCCTCCTCCTCCCTCCATCATTTTCCTTGTAAGCAAAACTCCTCCTGCCCGGCACGCCCCAAGAATTGTCGGTAGGGCGGGCTGGGCGGTTCAACTGAAACTTCCTCACCATTTATGGTCCTGACAATTGAAATTTGAGCAGCTTCACGGCTTGAATTGAGCACAAGTGTCTTAAATATCTGGAGCAATTCCACGGATGGAAGGCGCTTCTCAAAATGTTGCTCTCGCCTTGAATCGCGCAGACACGTCTGAAACAATTGTAGCACTTTCACGGATGAAGACGACTCTTGTTCAAAATGTGGTCCTCGTCTGAACATCGCACACATTCGTCGTAACAATGGGGCGTTTCGGATGGTGATGTTCATAACTGTGGTTCTCGCCTCAACGCCGCGCACATTCGTCTGAACAATTTGCAGCATTTCCAACGGTAAAAGGGAGGTCAAACGGTGTTCTCGCCTGAGGGCCACGCGCATTCATCCGAAACATGTGCAACATGTCGCTCTCGCCTTAGCGCCGCGAGCTTTCGTCTTAAAGTGTGTAGCCATTTCAGCGGTGGACGGGGAGAGAGAGTGTTCCAAATAGTGTGTTCGCCCAAGCGCGAATCACATGTCTAGTAACGTTTGCGTTAGCTTCACGGATGGAGGGCGGTTCCTTTTTTCAAAGTGGGGTTCTCGCCCCGCCTCCACAAACATTCGTTTCAAACGATTGCAGCCCGTGTCAAACATTGAACGCTGGTCGTTATCAACGCGGGAAGTTCAACGCAAGTAGCACTGCACGGATTTACGGCGGCCAATGTGTTCGATACGGGACTGTCGCCTGACACGTCCTCCACATGCACGACCACATCCGTAATTGTGTACAAACGATGAATCAAACTGGGGGGGGGGGGGGCATCTCTTCTCGAACCAGGGATACCGCTGGAAGTCTCGAGTTGAGATGTATGATCATTGCTTCTCGCGTTTCTGATTGCGCGCCGCCAGAATGCAACAACCGAGTCAATGTTAAAGCGGTGGCCTCGCCAACCTAGCAGGCCAAACTGAACTGATGTTTCAAGAGGGAGGCCTTTTGCATTGATAAACACGTCTTGTACAGGTGGGCGAGAAAGGGGGTTGGGACGGGAGGATATCGCAATATGGTTCATGCATATTTGGATGACCCTGGCCATTCCCCCCCCCTTCGTCCTCCGCTTTCCACATCCTCCTGATCCTTCCCGCCCTCCTCAACCTACTCCCTGCTCATGCGCATCGGGCCTCTGTCTCTGTTTCGTCCTCCTCCTCCGAGAACCGTTTCTCCACCTCATCCCCTTCCTGTCCCTCCTCCTCCTCTTCCTCCACTCTTTTCCGCCAACTCTCCCCTCTCTTCCCCCTTCCCCCTCCGCCTACCCCCCCGCCACCCCCAAACCATTCCGTTGACCACCCGCATATCGCAGCCTAACCTCGGCCGCCCCAACTGCAAGACGTCCACTGGACCCTGATCCTGCTCGTTCCTCCAATTCCTTCCGAGCCTGTGGTTCCTACTGTGTCTCGCCACCCTACTGCCTCGTCAGAATGAGGGGGCCGAACGATCATTCACTGTCCCTGGGTGCGTGGCCGAAGTGGGATTCAGCGGTGCGGATTATCGTTGTTGTTGTTGTTGTTGAACATTATTACTTCTAAAGAATAATTATTGTTGGGGCCCATGGTGCATGGCCCCCCCGCCGCGCCTAGGCCGCAGCCACATTTTCATCATTTTCGTGAGGAAGTCTCAGGCAAAACGGGTTGGTCCGGATCCGGTTGTTTTGTTACGGCCCGCTTTCCCTTGCAAAAAAAAAGCTAAAGTGGACATTTCTTGTTCTAACATAACCAAACTTCAAAAATCCCTTGCAAAAAATGAGGTAAAGTGGACATTCGCGCGCGCAAGACGAAATCCGTCCAAAACCTTAGTTTTCGTAGCGGTTTTAACATAAAAACATCAAAAAACTAATGGTTTTTAAAAACAAATTGTCAAAATTTCATCCCGCGCGCTCTTGCGGATTCGTAGGAAACCCGACACTTTTTAAACATTTCTGTCAAACGGGTTTTTGCGAACAACTTTTTCGAACTTCTGCAACAACGGTTGCGCACCTGCCAGGGCCATCATCCCTGTCAAATAATACCATGCGGGACACATTCGTTTTTTCTTCGCGCGCGCACGCCGTCGTCGTCGGCCGCGGGGCCCTGAATAGTAGCCACGGTCGTCCGCATGCCACGAAGTGAAGTGTCCGAACGTCATAGGGCGGGAAGCTGGGTGTGGGTGGTGGCGAAGAGTCGTTTGGAAATTTGGTAGAGCTTGAACCGGCCCCCCCACAAAGTGGGGGTATTGCCCGCCTCCTATGAAAACCCTGGCACTGGTGAGAACGGAGTGTCCCCACGTGCTAGTAATTGTTGTTGTTGTTGTTGTTGTTGTTGTTGTTGTTGTTGTTGTTGTTGTTGTGGTTGTTTGTTGTTGTTTGTTGTCGTCGTCCCACCCGCAACCCGCCCCGCGACCCACCCGCGACCCAACCCGCGACCCACCCCGCGACCCACCCGCGACCCACCCGCGACCCACCCCGCGACCCACCCCGCGACCCACCCCGCGACCCACCCCGCGACTCACCCCGCGACCCACCCCGCGACCCGCCCGCGGCCCACCCCGCGACCCACCCCCGACCCACCCGCGACCCACCGGCGACCCAACCGCGACCCACCTTCGACCCAAACCACGTTCAAGGTACAGACCACCATTTTCGGCGCCTGCGGCGGGCTTTTCTTGCATTCCTTCCAAGTGGAGAGCCCGCGACCCACCCCGTGAGCAACTCGCGACCAACCCGCGACCCGAACCACGTTCAGGGTACAAACCACATTTTTCGGCGCCTGCGGCGGGCATCTTTTGCATGCGCTTCAGGTGGAGAGCCCGCGGCCCACCCGCGACCACGTTCAAGGTACAAACCACATGTTTCGGCGCCTGCGGCGGGATTCGTTCACGGTGGAGAACCCGCGGCCCACCCGCGACCCAAACCACGCTCAGTGTACAAAGCATTTTTTTGGCGCCTGCGGCGGGCTGCTTTTGCATTCCTTCCAGGTGGAGATGGAGAGCCCGCGACCCGTCCGCGACCTAAACCACGTTCACTGAACAAACCAATGCCGCACAAGCGCGGCGGCGGATTCTTGCATGCCGTCTGAGCCCGCAAGGACCTCTTCAAGCCCCGCGCATCCACACCAGCCCGTCCAGCAACCTTGCCCTGGCGAGTTGCCTTGGTCAGAGAAGGCGGGGCGCATAAAGTGGAAAAAAAGATTGCGTTGCAGTTATCTTGGGAAAGGAGGGGGAGGCAGGAGGAGTAGACAGGGGACGAGAAGAACGCGGAAGAAGAGATGATGCAAGGATAATGTGGAGAAACGAAAGGAGGAAGAGCAGGAGGACGAGGAGGGGGAGGAGGGGGAGGAGGGGGGGGAGGGGAAGGAGGAGGACGAGGAGGGGGAGGAGGGGGAGGATGATGATGATGGACGGCAATGGGAGTGCGATGATGGAGGCCGATAAGGGGGAGGACGACAATGGGAGGACGATGATGAAAGGACGAGGAGGGAGAGGGAGGACGAGGAAGAAAAGGAGGAGGAGGAGGAGGACGAGGTGGAGGAGGATAATGACGATGACGATGAGGACGAGGAAGAGGAGGAGGAAAAGGAGGAGGAGGAGGAAAACGCCATCGACAGGGAAGGCGGGGGCCACGAGGTCCACCGGCTCGACGACGCCCGCGTCGCCCGCGCCCGCCCCCTCACTCTTATCCGCAATTGCGGGGTGCAACGTACCTCCTGATATTCCTCCTCCTCCTCCTCCTCCTCCTTCTCCTCCTCCTCCTCCTCCTCTTCCTCCTTCTTCTCCTCAACCGCTCTCTCATCATTCTCGTCGTTGTGTTGTCCGCATGTTCACCAACGTCAACATCGCACTTCCCAACCTCGCCCCCCTCTCCTACCCGCCCAAGCTGCCCTTCCCAGATCACCCAACCTCAGACGCCGCCCTGAAAGGTTACGGTGGATGCTTTTTTTGCTCTTCGAGGGTGAGCGGACCCACCCGTGACTCGAATATCATGCAGAGAGGCGCGGGCGGGGCCCCCAGAAACAAGCCCGCCGCCCAGGGCTCGCCCCCCCGGGGCCCCTCGACCCCGCGCGCCGCCGCCGCCCTCTGCTCGCGAGCCAGGCGCCCGAGGTCTCGCGCCTCCCCCAAGGTCGCGAAGCCGTGCGACCTGGCCACGCTCTCGAGCGGCGGCGCGATGAGCATCTCGCCGCCTGGCCGCTGCCTTGCAGCGCCGCCGGCAGCTCCCACCGCGAGCGCCTGCCGCGCAGGCACTCGCGGCCTCCGCGCCGGCCGCAGCCCCATCCGCCAAGTCTGGGCGCTGACGCCCGCGCCTGCAGGCTCGCTGGCGGTCTCCCTCGCCGCGCCCCCCGCTCCTGCGCCGGCGCCAGGCTTCTCGGCCCAGCGCTGGCGCGTGACCACCGTCGGGACCTGCAGGGCGCCGGTGGGATCCTTGGCCCCAGGCAGCAGGCTCTTGCCCAGGTCGCTGCGTGCCTGGGCCCGCGACCCTGTCTTGGCCCGCCCATCGGCGCCCCTGCACGGGTCATGCAGGC